GAAATGCAATTGTTGTTTTCATTGTCTGTACTAAACATGGATCCCAATGACACAAGACTTTAATTACTGGATATTTTGGTTATTGAGACATCCTGAAAACAGGATGAATAGAGGTCTAGCAAACAAACATGTTACAGCTTTGAAGACACCACTGCCCAGAAAACACTGAAATTTCTGTTGCCAGCTTCACAAAGAGCTGAAACAGCTGAATTCATAGGAAGCTGTCAAACATCATGGCCCTCCTTTGATGTTTGCAAGTTGTTGGTATTTTTTTCTGCAGTGTTAGTTTAAAATATTGGCCTTTCCCCCCCCGCCTTTTTTTCTAGTAATGAACTGTTACAGATGATGGCTTTTTAATGTAAACGAACATTAAATAATTTAATTATTATAGTGAAAATGTGCTCCCAAATAAATTAGATTAATGGGAAATTCCCTGCAGAGGGTTTGTTATTTTTCATTCAAAGCTCTTGTCAAAATATCTGTTGCAGCAGTTCTGCTTTTTTTTCAGTCTACAAGCTAAGGGACTTTCTTCAAATAACATTAAAAATTTCTTTTTCTATTTGAAATAATAGCACTATAAGATTAAGATGTCCTACTGAGGCCTCCAAATAAATAGGAACAAATTGAAACATGGTGAAGGGGCTTTTACTCCAAATGTTCTAATTTGATTTAATTCTGGCACATCAATACCTTTGTATGCAAACCGGAAATTAGCGGCATTTTACAAGGGGTTCGAGAGAACTGCGTAGCGGAATCCATGAGTTAACCACCAGCTATGCAAGTCCCTTTTCTCTTAGGTTCTGTTCATGCTATTGTATAATTGATTTCTTATTTACAGATTCAGTAAAAGCTAAACTTTGTGAAATGGGAAATGGTCAGAACACGGTAATGAACTGTAGCTGGTGGAAAATGTTTTGAAAAAAATGTTGAGAATCACCTAGTAAGTGTAGATTTTTATGTGCAACCTGGCTTCGTTCCTTTCTGTTGATATGATAATTCCCCAGTAATTCATACCCATGGGAAACTCTCAGTTCTTTCATAAGCTTTGGTTGCTGAATGGAATTTACGTATTGTATGTAAATAGTGGATTAAAGCCTATTCTCAGTTTAGTTCCCCTCTCTATTGGGATAAATGAAAAACCTCATAGAATTGCAACAAATTTGTACAAGTAATTTTCATACAGTATCTGGAAATGTTCTCTTTTTTTCATTTGAAGATAAAAGTAGCATCACAGCAGTAAAAGCCGTGTAAGTATTTGTTTGTCACAGAAAATGCCTTCTTGTATATATCTGCATCTTCCTCTCCACGTGCATCCCCACATGCGCTGCTCCAGCCACCAGAAGAGATTTCAAAAAACGTGAATAAACAGGGAATTTTACCTTTGTGCACCATGCAGAGGCAACTCAGAGGGAAATGCACGCACTCGGTGTGGAGGTAACACCGATACCTCCTTCTGCATTCGCCACTGGTATCGACCAGATGCTCAGCTGAGGACTTTTTTTTTAGCACCAGCCAAATTAGTATTTATCACAAGGCCACTGAAATCAATGAAGCCCTGACAATTTACACCAGCTATCGATCTGCTTCCGGACCTTTAATGTTCATCATGGCTCATCTCACCTTCCATTTTTGCATAGCTTCTCACGCACATGGACACCCACTCACAGAAATTGTTACGAGTATAACTGCCAGCTTTAGCAGCACTATCAGATGCTAAAATGTGCTTTAAAATATACTTCTAGTTATTTGTATCTAAGGCCAAAATTCAGGAAAACAAAAAAAGAGCCTTCTACATTTAAAAAAAAAAAATCCCTGGTAATGACTCTGATACAAAGAGGTTTGTGCCACCGTTGGCAGCCTTAACATGCCATGGTAAGTTTTATGTTAAAATTTTTATAAAAAGGAACATTCAGTTCTGCCTGATCCTCACATCTGTATGTTGACCTATATGTCAGAGACACAATGACGCTTTACAGCAGTTGTAAGTCTGCTCTGCTCTGCTTCACTCTGGACGCAGAGGCATACAGCTGAGCCACACGCTTGCTGTAAATTCAGGGCAGAAATAGCTGCATTTCCTCTGTCAGCTGAATTTTCCCTCCTCGGTGTCAGCAACACCAGGCACCTGGCGTTTATGAGCTCAGCTTTAGAATGATGCCATTTAACAAAATAATAAATGTGGAGTTCTTCAGTCTCTAGGGCTGGGCATTTAGTATTCAGGTTTTCTGCTTTACAGCTGCCAGAGTCAGTAACTTTTCTTCACATGGAAGTTGGTAATGCTGGCAACCAGAGGTAACAATACTAAAGCTCAATTAACAACAGGTTCATGAAAGACTGTGTGAGCTGCTAACACTTTAACTGCATTATTCAAGAAAAGATAAATTTTGCATGTAGTGATTTTCTTCAGTTGCTGTGGAAGTTAATGAGAATTTCGCTGTTGACTTTACTGAAAGAAGGATCAGTTCAGAAATCTGTATGAAGTCCTGTGAGGTCCGCATCAAAGATAAAGAGCTATGACCATGGCTTCTAAGAGCCTTCGGATGTTTGCAGACCTCCACGAGTTACTCATCCACCCGTATTTCTGCAGAGAGGAGCATGCATGTTCAGGTATTCACACTTGGCGGCTGAATACAGATCAGTTCTTTCCGAAAAGACACGTCACCATGATACTGTAAGGTCAAACCTCAGCTAATATGCCTTATTTTTCAGCAAGTCATGTGAGATTGGTCTCCGCACTGGGTCAGTGTGGCCGCATGGCTCTGGGCTGGAGCATGATTGTGTCTCATGGGCATGAATGCTAGAGAAAGAAAACTTGTGACTGCAAAGCAGTTGTGGGCCAGACCCAGCACAATATACCGGATACAAATTTTCCCTGGAATAAAATGAGGGATGGGGCAGAACCTTCTGGCAGGAGGCAGTCTGGGAGAGTGAGATGTATGAGGTGCCTATTTCATCCATTAATTTGTAGAAACAAATTCAGCAGTAATTTAAAGCAATTAAGGCTAAATGAAAGGTTCTAAAAATAATACATGGTTCATTTGTCACCAAATACATTTTCAGAAGTCATGTGATATTTTACTGATTGATGATAAAGATAAGGATGTACAGTGTTATTTTTCTGCTTTGCACAAGGTATACACCTGTGGAGTGTTGAAACTTGGCCAAGTAGAGGAATAAATTGTGCTTTTATTTGCATACAGGTAAGTCTAGAGCAATTTCATGAAAGCGGAAACATGGACCTTCACTAAAAAAGGTAATTAACATCCAAAACCAATTACTTT